ATTTGGATTTCTTTTATTGCGGATGATCATGAGCATGTCTTCCCATGGTTGTTAGCCACCTGTGTGCCATCTTTGGTTAAATGTCTCTTCTTGTCCTGTGTCTATTATGGTTTAAAATAGAAATGGAATTCTACAATGCTTGGCCCATTCACTGAACGTACTGTGTCCAAGGTTCATCCATGTTGTCGCATTGATCACTACTTTATTCCTTTTCTTGGCTAGTAATATTCAGTCATAGGAAGAGGCCACATTTTGTGCGTTCATCAGTTGGCGGTGGACTCTTGTCATTGTTTCCTCCTGTGGACTATTGCGACTAATTCTGCAAGGAGCGTCAATGCGCACGTTTCTGTTTGAGTGTCTATTCTCTCCATCTGCCCTTTGCTCAATAATTTTCTCTTGGGGAGCAAGGATCTTATGCTAAGTAGGGTGCTGTGATGTTGACAATTATGGAGATATGTTGCAATACACAATCTTACCCCAAAAGCCTGGTTGCCAATTGACAAGTGTGAGCAGGCACAGTGGGCAGTGATGAGGATTTTCTGGCTTAGAATGGGGCTGGGGTGGGTCCTGGGGTAAGGTGCGGAGTAGAGCGAGGTATGCATGAGAGAGTCAACAGGTCACGAAGCCCCGAGGACCATATGCCAGCTCAGAGCACCCAATGCACAGAGAGGACCATATGGCCGGTCCCATCACGAGACAGGACATCCCTCACTGACCCATTTCGCAACAAGGGACAACACTGGCAGTACAGTGTGGGAATTTTGCCCGATCTGATTATGCCACACTAGGGTGAAATGTTAAGGGCGTGCAACAGAGCAGCAAGGGGAGAAAAGCAATGAAGTCCCCGGGGAATACCAAAAATAGACTTAGGGGCAAGGGCATGGCACCCCATCAGACTCAACCGGGAAACATGCCTAAAGGTCAACAAACAGACCTGGAACTATTTACCGGCTTTGTGTGTGTGTGTGTTGTTGGTTTTTGTTGTTGTTGTTGTTGTTGTTTGTTTTTTTGGTTTCTTTTTCTCTGCCTTGTTTTTGTGCTTATTATTATCTCTACATGTCTATCTAGATAAGATAGGTGGGATAAACAATCCGGAGGAGAAAACAACAGGACCAATGGGGGGACATGGGAGAGGGAAGGAAGGAAAAGGAAGTGGGTGTTAACAAACCCAGGGAAAAGGAAACAAAAAGTGATCTAAAATTGATGAAGAGGAGGGCATAGGATGCCTGGTAGGGCTTGATCAAGGGCAATGTAACTGAGAGGAATTACTGAAACACAAATAAAGGCTGACCATGATAGTGGGACAAGAGGAAAGTGAAAAGAAATAGAAGAAAGAACTGGGAGGCAAAGGGCATTTATGGAGATCTAAATACAAGCATGTACATATGTAAATATATTTATACTTAACAATAGGGAAATAGATCTATGTACATATATTTATATGTTAAGTATCAAGGTAGCAGATGGACATTGGGTTTCTATTCAAGTACTCCCTCAATGCAAGAACACTTTGTTCTAATAACCTGGCCCCGTGATGCTCACCTTCCCAACATGATCACTGATGTCAAAATGAGTGCATAGCAAATGTGGTGAAGAAAGCTGATGGTGCCTGGCTATCAAAAGATATAGCACCTGTGGTATTTGAGGTTTGAAGACAAACAAGCGGCCATCTAGCTGAGAAGCAACAAATCCCATGTGGTAGAAGCACACCAGCCTGTGTGATCATGAGGTGTCAATGGGATAAGGTATCAGGCATCAAAGACTTAGAACAAAAAATCATATCAATGTGAATGAAGGAGAGTGCACAGTAAAGACCCAAAGCCCATCTGTAGACAATTGGACATTCCCTTACAGAAGGGTCACAAGGAAGAGATGAGCCAATTAGGGTGCAGTATAGCACCAATGAAACACACAACTTTCCTCTAGTTCTTTTAATGCTTCCTTGCACCCCCCCACCCCCCACTATCATGATCCCAATTCTACCTTACAAATCCTGCTAAACCAGAGTATGTACATGGGTACAGATAAGAGCTGGAAACACAGGGAATCCAGGACAGATAAACCCCTCAGTGCCAATAATGAGAGTAGCGATACCAGGAGGGTAAGGAGGAGATGGGGGGGGGGGCGCTGATCACAATGATCTACCTATAAGCCCCTCCCTGAGGGACAGAAAACAGAAAAGTGGGTGAAGGGAGACATTGGTCAGTGTAAGACATGAAAAAATAATCATCATTTATAAATTATCAAGAGGATAGGGAGGGAGGGTGGGGGAAAAAATGAGGAGCTGATACCAAGGGCTCGGGTAGCAAGCAAATGTCTTGAGAATGATGATGACAGCAAGCGTACAAATGTGCTTGACACAATGGATGGATGGATGGATTGTGAGGAGAGCTGTATGAGCCCCAATAAGTGATAAAAAAAAAAAAGAAAGTCAACGGGTATGGAAATGAAGGTCTAGAGAAACTAGATGAAGGCTCCTAGCTAAGAACTAATCATAGAAAAAAAAGTATAAGCTCATAAATCCAATATAAAGTCGCTTTGAGTTGGAAAAATCAAAAGAAGAAAAAAACAAAACAACTAACCATCACTGAACTGTTTCAGGAGTCCAATGGAGTCCAATTTCTCTCTTTCCCTGAATGCAACTCGGGAGGTACCACTGGAAAATCCCCAGCCCACACCGCTGTGAGTATCATCTCCCTGGTGGTTTTAGGAGTCACCTTCGTCCTCGGCATCCTGGGAAATGGCCTTGTGATCTGGGTGGCCGGCTTCCGGATGAAACACACCGTCACCACCATCTCTTACCTGAACCTGGCCCTGGCCGACTTCTCTTTCACCGCCACCCTGCCGTTCACCATGACCACTCAGATCATGGGCAAGCACTGGCCTTTCGGTTGGTTCCTGTGCAAGTTAATTTCAACGGTGGTGGACATCAACCTGTTCGGAAGCGTCTTTCTCATCGCTGCCATCGCTCTGGACCGCTGCGTTTGCGTCCTGCATCCGGTCTGGGTGCAGAACCACCGCACTGTGCGTCTGGCCAAGAAGGTGATCCTCGGACCGTGGCTCCTGGCCCTGATCTTCACGTTGCCCGTTATCATCCGGATGACGACGAAATCTATTCCAGGAAAGACCGTCTGCACGTTGGACTTCGCACCCTGGACCAACGACCTGCTTGAGAAGCTGAGGGTGAACGTGACCATGTTTCTGGTCCGAGGCATCATCCGGTTCATCATTGGCTTCAGCATGCCGATGCTCACGGTCGCCATCTGCTACGGCCTGGTCGCCACCAAGATCCACCGGCAGGGCCTGATCAATTCCAGCCGCCCCTTACGGGTCCTCTCCTCCGTCGTGCTGGCTTTTTTCCTCTGCTGGACCCCCTTCCAGCTGATGGCCCTCATCTACACGGTCAGAATTGGAAGAGGTTGGCTGGTAACAAGCAAAGAATTCGAAGTCGCCCTTGATGTGGTCAGAGCGCTGGCCTTCTTCAACAGCTGCCTCAACCCCATGCTGTATGTCTTCATGGGCCAGGACTTCCGCGAGAGGCTGCTCCAGTCCCTCCCTGCCAGTCTGGAGAGGGCCCTGACTGAGGACCCAGGCCAGAGCACTTCTACGGTCACATCGAATCAAGCTCCTTCGGAGGTGGAGCTCCAGGGCTTGTGAAGAGGAGGGTCGGAGCCACGTCTGAACTCAGTTTTCTCCTACCCCACTGCGAGCTTAGCTTCCTCTCGCCTTAAGCATTCGCCATGATGCCTAGCCCTAAGCATTCCCTTAAGGTTCACCAACTCAAGGAAAACATTTTCATGCCTCCGATTTGGGGCTGGGGGGGTGGGGATGGAAGAGGCATGACGATATTATTTAGGGTTTGGACCTTGCCTCGGATGGGTTGTCGTTAAATGCCAACAAGTCAACTCCAGCAGCCTAGTGTGTAACTGAATGAAACACCGCGATTCAGACCCGTTACAGCCTCACAATCATCTCTGGGTTTGAGCCCACGGTTGCAGCCACTGGGGACATCCTTCTCCTTGAGGGTCTCCCTCCTTTTTGGCTCACCCTTTACTTGACCCTGGTGGCATAGTGGTTACCCACTGGGCTGCGAGCTGAAAGGTCAGCAGTTCGAAACCACCAGCCCCTCCTGTGGAGAAAGGTGGGGCTTGCTACTCCTGTCAAGAGTTACGGTCTAGAAAGCTCACAAGGGCAGTTCTCACCTGTCTTACAGGGTCTCTGGGAATCAGAATCAGCTCGACGGCGGTTTGTTTGTTGTTGACATGACCAGGCATGATGCCCTTCTCCTGTGATTGGTTCCTCCTGATGGTATGCCCCAAAGAGTGAGACAACGTTTCATCATCCCCCCTTTTAAGGCATGAGGACAGCATACCTCCGAGTTTCCTGGAACGATTCTTGAATGATACTTATCATGCTAGACTCATTATCCATCGTGTCTACCTGTCTTCTCAGAAGTCCTCTGCCGCGGACAGTAAATTATTGGTCACCTTAGGAAAGAGAACAAGTGGGGAAACACGTGAAAGAGTATTGCTGGAAGGAGACAAAATACAAAGAGGGAGGCTTGTATGTAAAGTCCTTGCCTTTGACTGATGGATGAGAAAATATAGTTACGTAGCTGTCAAAAGAAGATCACCCATTTCCCTGAGATCTAGGTAAGATTGTCGCTAGCCATCAAATCATCAAAGATGAGCAATTATTGTCCTCCCCTCCCCACCCCGCCCCACCCCGGGGGTGGGGGCATATGTTTTTCACTTGTGGCTTTGAGTTTTACTTCTCTTGAATCAATGGAGCGCACACAGTTCCTAGGGCTTGCCTTCTAGAGTGGCATTCCAGTTATTCCCACATACGACACATTTTTGTGCGCAACATGCTATTCCACTGGTTGGCCCACTGGGATATTCCCTGGTCAGCAACAGAAACAAGGGAAGAAGCCTCCAGTTGGACTGAAGACTTCCTTGTTCTGAAAAGCCTGTCTTCCTTCCACCGTGTTGCTCTGCCATCCCTCCAACTCTAACCTCCAGTTAGATCTGGGTCCCCGGATCCCACCGCTTCTACCGTGTTGAGCAATTTACCCAGCATACCCTTGACTCTTTGGATGGGTGTGTGTTGGGTCTCTGCTCACCACGCAGTCTACTTACCAATGACAGCATCCCCCCTATGAGGAGATCTGGGGCCAGCTCTTGGAGGACTCATGTGAAGACCACCACAGGGCTCTTCATTTGGTTATAAATAATAAAAATGAGTGGGGGCCGGGGCTGGGGATGAGAGGAAGGAAGAAAGCTGGAGGAGGAGTCTCAGAGTGTCCTGAGGCTCTACACAGCAGAACGAGGAGGTGGATGAAGTGCCGGCTGACGATGGCTTATTTCACTCCAGTTCATTGGCAGATTCACGGGCTTTCAGTGCATAAGTGTACCCCTCAGGGAACAACCCTCATCTGGGTACCACCCCACCCCCTTTTCTGTGCAACCCCTAAAGGTTCTCTGAGTTCTGTTTTTTCATCATTGTATGGGGGGCTCGTACAGCTCTCATCACAACCCAGACATCCATCCGTTGGGTCAGACACATGTGTACATAAGCTGCCATCTTCGTTTTCAAAACACTTTCAAACAAACAAACAAACATTTTATTTCTACTTGCACCCTTGGCAGTTCTCTGAGTTGTGTGTTGCAGCATCCAGCACATTCGCTTAATCGAGCCCACCAACCTCTGAGCACCTGGAAAGGCCTCTCTGATCCTTGCCTTCCTCCCGCACACAGAAGGCTCCAATAAACGTTCCTGAGTGAAATGTTTTGCCTCCGTAACTCTTTTATAATGACCCAGACAACTTGTGTATCCAGACAAAAATATTAGTAATGTGTAAGAAGGAAACGACCCCCCAACAATAATCACATAGCCAGGGAAGACATTCTGTCCTGTAACCTGTAAGAGATACTTGGCACCAAGCACAAGTTCAGGTCGGGTCTAGAGGGAGGTCAACTGGCCGAGTGCTGAGTTCAGTCCGGCATAATCAAGACGGCAGTGGTCTCTGCCCGATAGGAAAGCTGATGGAGACTCTTGATGTGGCTGGAGCGGATCTGCCAGTGGCTCAGTCTGACCACATCTGCTGCAGACGGGTTTTGGACTCACCATCCCCCAGAGGCCTCCACAAATTGGGGGTTCATAATTTTTGCTCTTGCTTTTCTCCTCACCATATTCGAGTTTTGCAATTGTCATCTATGGCTCGCACAGGCTGGTGTGCTTCTTCCGTGTGAACTTAGTTGGCTCCTCGTGTAGATGGCTGCTTGTTTGAACACAAGTTGTTAAGACCCCAGACACTATTCAAATTGATAGCTGGGCATCATCTGCTTTCTTCACCGCACTTTGTGTAGCATCTTCATTTTCAGTGATCACTTCATGAAGGTGAGTATCCACCAGGGCCATGATGTAAGGACTGATTGTTCTTAAGTTGGGTTAGGATTTAGTGCAAGCCCCAAGCCCATACCTGGATCCAGCAGTAAAGGTTTTTTCTTTCTTTCTTTTCTTTTCCTTTTATCTCTTTGTTTTGTGGTGAAAATATACACAACAAAATGTGAAAAACTAAGAACTGGGAAGAGAATATATGCAGACAAATTCTTTATTCTCATGTTTAAGAACCTTGGGAGCCCAGGATTCTGGGTGGAGGGAGGCCCTCACACTTGTGAGTTAGAGAAGAGTCCCAATCACATCCCCCTAATTAAAGATAATCCGCACAATGTCCTCCCATCATAGTGCTGCCTTACAGTGACCTCTCACAAGCACATGGCTGATTGCTATCTAGTTGGCAACTTTATCTGTCGGAGCAGACACGTTGAAATTGCTCTCCCTGTCAGGGGATAGTCACCACCCCTTTGACCTGACCCCCAGCACTGTCCCCAATGAACTTGGTGACTTCCAGGGGAAAGACACTGCCCACTTTGTTATGTATGTGGTTGCCTGTCATTGGGGAGCTCGCATGCCCTGACACTACATAAGTTGGTGTAAGAATACATTCTCTCTCTCTCCCAGACCTGGACCTGGTTCCTGATACCATGGAGGAGGTGAGCACCCCAAAACTTTTGTCTGCCTCTTAATTTCTTCCCTTCAATGGCACAACCATCCCTTCGGACCCATCTGGATGTGGGCTGGATCCCACAACAAAACATACACCAATTCAACCGATGTGCAATTCAGTGACATGGATTACATCAGTCAAGCTGTGCGACCATTCTCCAAATCCTTTTCCAAATCAGTCCACCACCATGAACATAAACTCAATGCCCTCTAGACAAACAAGCAAAAATCCCCCATCCCTCCCTCCCATACCTCTGGCTTCTGAATATCCATTTATTTCCTGTAAGTGAGATCACGCAGCATTTGCCCTGTTATGACTGACTTAGTTCACTCAGCACGACATTTTCAAGGTCCGGGCATGCTGTCATCTGCACCAGGCCTTCCTTTTTCTTTATGGCTGAGCAGTATACCATTGTATATACAGACCACAGTTCGTCTATCCATCCATCTGTTGATGGCTGTTGATGTTGTTTCCACCTTTTCTGTATTAGCTCCTGAGATCACCAATGCCATCTCTTTCTGTGTCAGTCATATAATATCATGTCAACTTGAAGAGACACAATAGTGTATGGGGTGGAGTTTACCTGTCAATCAGGTCACAGCCGGATGGTGCCGCCTTGTGGGCATGGCCTTCTCATAAGGAGAGCTCTGGGAACCTTCCCCTTGTTCTCTGCCTTCACTTTCCTGCTGTTGAGTCGCTCAGAGAGTTGCCAGAGCCACCACCATTGGATCCACATGACGGCATCCACCAGCCAGTGATGTCCCTGCATTCTGCCTCATGGCATGTGGCTGCATGAGTCTGAAGAGGGACTTAGGGACTTGTATCAGACTTCTGGACTAGTATTGGACATATGGCCTTGAGTTGGACTGGGCTGGGATGTTATCTCAATATACAATTACTTCTTGATATAAAGCTTATTCTCACACATATATGAGTATCACCGGGTTTGTTTCTCTAGTCAACCCGGCCTAACACATTTTCCAAACCAATCCACTTATCAACAATAGCACCCTTCCTAAAAGGATGTCTCGTGCCAACTCTTGGGGACATCAGTAAAAGATAACCAGGGAACTTTTCATTTGATCATAAATCATAAGAAAGAATGGTTGGAAACGGATTGTGGTAGCAATTGTACAATTCTTCTTGATGTGATTGAACTATGGAAGGATAGGTTATATGTATTAAATCCCAACTAATAAAATAAATAAGTAAATGAGTAAAGAGTGGCGGGGGAAAAGGGACAATGAGAAGGTGGAAGAGGGCTGGCTGGGGGAGTGTCCAGGATAGCTCAACAGCCAAACACATACTTGGACAGGGAAGAAACTTAGGCACAGAGAGAAGGGTTTTTCCCATTGAGTGAAACCCGTGGTTGTGGGGAAAGCACCATATTTGGAGTAGAAATGTCATGAAAGCAGGCGTTGGTGAAATCTGAGCTTCAGTGACTAGCAGTTGATCCTTCAACAAAAAAAGAAAGTCACGACTCAGAGCCTCGGTTTCCATCTCTTCGAAGTGGTAAGATAAGACCCATCTGCTCACAAGTCCTTTGTGAGTTGAACACTCAGGACAGCCGCAGTATGCGACGTGTGTT